CTAGTCACCATCGTTCAAGCCTTAGTATAAATATGTCCCTGATTTCAAGGACCCATGGCTTATGTGATGGTTGAGCTCACCAGGGTTTGGAAAGCAGACACTGAGAGACGTCTGACCTGTACACCAGCAGCCTGGAGAGCAGTGAAAAGTGAGCAGGAGTCCATTAAGGCTAGGAAATGGACTGCACATTCGCTGACTCTGGGATGGATTGAGAGCTGCTGGAGCGTTTAGGGAGTGGTTGACCGCTATGTGAGGAGGGAAATGTGTTCTTGTTGGTCCAGCAGAAGCCGGTAATAAGATAAGGAGGCTGCTCTGAGAGCTGAAACCGTGAGCTGCATTTAGGCGAACGGATAGCTGCACAGTGGAGAACTGGAAATGGTGTTACTTTGGTCAATCATTGACCAGCTCAAGAACTGGCATACACACTGCACTGATGGAGCTAGAGCTTTAGTTTAGCTGTTAAAGGTGTGACAAATGCTGCTGCCTTTCATTTAAGCATTACACATTACTGGCTTCTCAGCAGTTTACAAACAAAGACTAATAGAGCAGGAATTTTACTTTAGCAGAATATAATATACATTTCAGAGAAAGCAGAGACAGAGAGGAGTTTGCAACGATATGCAAATTCTACAATGCAATATGTATTGCCATTTTTGCATCAGGATAAAAGACAAGAAATGCAAACATAACTTTCGCATTAATGTATTTCCTTATTTATCTTTTGGTTATTCCCAATTTTTTCCTCAAAAAAAGACTCATTGTTTGGGCTGTTTTCTTAGAAGCCATACAATGAATAATGAAAACATCTATAAACAATAAACCAAGACATATATTACATGTTGCACATGCAAACCTGTGTTGTTACTGCTTGTAAAATTAAAGCAAACAAAAATGTGTGGACTGTGAGGCTACATTTCAAATTAAAATGAATTTACATTCAGATCTTGTGTTCTTATAAAGTGTAGCTCTTAACTTCTGGCTGAAATGAGTGTGAGGGTTTTCTAACGTGGGTCTGTCAATCCCAGAAAACTGCAGAATCCAGGCCTCTCAACAACCAAGAACCAAGTAGCTATCAAACTATAAGCATCTCTGTGGAGTCATTTGGTTGCTGCTTCACAGTCGGCACTTTACGGCTGTTTTAATCCCATATGGAGAAGTAGCCGCTGCAACTTGTCTTCTCAGACATTTGAGTGACATGTTCAGGAATGTATAAGCGTAGTTGAGGTATTATCACTGGTACTTGCGCAGTGTCAGCATGCTGCCACCGTTGGGATGTGCCACTGTTTGCCCATCATTATTGTACTCGACTGGGAAACAGAAGTGTTCCCAAACAGGAGATGAATGCAAAGATAAATCTTGCTGGAAGAGGTGGGTGATGTGGCAAAAATATAATATTACAGTACTTGATAAGCATAAATCATATTTATTTTGTTCAGCCATCTGATCAGATCAGTTGGAATGGAGAAAAAAGAATCAGTAGTGCTGCATTTTAAAAAAATACTGTCAAAAACTTAAATTACAATGATTTTTATTCAGTATCTGGCATACTGTGTTGGAGTTAAACAGGACTATTTTTGCATACTGACAATATAAATTACATGTCGTGACATAATATTGTAACATGATTTATCACAATAGCAGTCTATGTGGTCATATTGCACAGACCTACTTGCTGTCTCTTCCTGCCATTTCAAGCAGCTTGGCTAATCACCCATCCAGGGTATACAGAGCTGAAGTTAGCTTCTCATTCACCAGCTTCTTTTTCAAATTTTCCTGAGGCACCAGAGCGTAACTGCTGCACCGTTTAAGGTGGAACAGAAAATTTCTGTGAGAAGCTAATCTCAGCTTATTCAAGGTGGTCTATCCAAACCAGTTTTTTCCAGTTCTGAGAGCCACGCAGCAACTTTTTTATGTTCATAGTTTTAGGAGTGCCATGGATTGTGTTAAATACAACTACAGAAACTGTTCCTGATGTGATGAATTTTATAATGTGAAAAGCAGCCACATTCGATTCACAGCGTGTATCGTCTTGCAACTCCAGTATCAAAAATAAATCAATATTAATATGTGTATCGTGACACCCTTAGCTGATACTGATACAATTCTGATACCATTGTGCATCCCTGATATCAATATCAGGATACACACACACATTTTCTAAACCGCTTATCCTTCTGGGTTTGGGGGGGGGGCTATCCCAGCGGTGATTGGGCGGAAGGAAGGGTACACCCTGGACAGGTCGGCAGTCTATTGCAGGATAGACACACAGACATTTACATTCACACACACACTCACACCTAGGGGCAAGTTAACGTGTCCAGTCAGCCTGACTGCATGTCTTTGGACTGTGGGAGGAAACCCACGCAGACAAAGGGAGAACATGAAAACTCCAAAACAAAAAAACAAATACATTTTAAAAATCTTTAGGAAACAAAATGTTGTGTTGCTAATCTGAAAGCCTGTGAAACCAGAAGTGCTGATGACTTTCTTAAAGTTGTGTTTTTGTCAGGAAGTTACTCTGAACTTGCATGCTAATTTATGGGCATGTAATTGTGTACAGGTTTAAACAAAGGCTGTTGATTAAAGCAGACTGCTTACCCAAATCCAGAGAGCCCCAGAGGGAGAGAGAGAGAGAGTGTGTGAGAGAGTTTGAGAGTTGAGGAACAGTTTGTGAAGCGTCAGGAGAGGAAACATTTCTCCTGGGATCTTCAGGTGTCCTTCACTTGGAGGAGTCGCACAAAGCAGCGTTGAAAATAGTACTTTATGTGGTGTGTGTGTGTGTGTGTGTGTGTGTGTGTGTGTGTGTGTGTGTGTGTGTGTGTGTGTGTGTGTGTGCATGCCTCTGAGGGCCTAGTTATCTGCTCTTTGCAGCCTAGCTCCTTGCGGGCTCGTGCCTCCAGCATAGTCACCCTGCCTAATTGAGTGTCACCTGAAAGGTTGAGCTGAAGTGCAGTGCGTTAGAGAGAGAGAGAGAGAGCGGGCGAGAGAGATTGGCACTGAGCTTGGGGGTGACATTCCCTTGACTTCACTCCGTCATTCTGATGAAGTTTATGGCTAAAAATGCCAAAGGAAAAAACCTGTGAACTCATAAAAGTTGTAGTGCTGTTGTGTTCGGTATATCGTAAAAGCTTTTAATATAGTCTGTTATGTTTATTGGTGTGTGTGTGTGTGTGTGTGTGTGTGTGTGTGTGTGTGATTAGTGCTCGATGGGATGTTTATTTGTACTTTTAATGCTTTCTGCACTCTCCTCTCTTCTCAGTACACTCAGTAGAGCATATTGTAAAACATATTGACATAATCTATCACGATAACCATAACTATTGTCATTATGCCCATCCCTATTAGTTAGACTTGTGCAGCCAGATGTGATCTCATAACGAGAATACACATCTGGGGACAGCTTTTGCTGCTGGATTGCACCACAAACAAAATTACACCCCCTTTAAATCCACCCTAAATTCCTCTAGTCCATTCTCTTTCAATGTCCGGAGTAATCAATAACACAAGCAAAACAAGGGAACAAGCGCAATACTGACATTAGTTAACAAACCTGTGCTTTCCTTAAAGGAGGTAATGCATGTCTTAACTGCATGTAATGTGTTCTCTGCACACTTGACCCATATCTATGTGCTTATTTGGTATATTTCATGAGGGATTTGCAGCCATGCTTATTTGCGTCAAATTAATGGGCTAAAAACAGTCTTGCAGTTCTGTTGGACTACTTCGAGCTCTGCCTTCATGAGGCCTTGGATTGGTTTGGAAATTTCACACACAGTTTGTTCCCACCGTAATAAGTCTAAGTTCACATCTACATAAAGCCTGAAATTTCTCTTGGTTATCCACAAATGTTCTCATTACAAAATTAAATCTGGCCCTGTGAGATTAATCTAAAGTAAAAGATTTGGGTAAAGATGATGCAGGTAGGGCTGAACGATTTATCGTCTTCATATTGAAATCGCAAGAACTGGAATTTTAATTAAATTCACAAGTTTTAAGTGAAGAAATTAAATCTAATAATGCAGATCTCATGAACTGGCTGTCTGGCACTTTCAGCAGAAGACATTCAAGCCAAAAGTAGATGTGCTTGTGTTCTTGGCCAGAAAAGGCCCGAAGCTTAATTTTTAGAAAAGATATATGAATCGGACAGAAAAATCACAATTAGATATTCAGCTCCAGATGCAGACCAGTTATTCATACGCTACAACTTGAAATGGCACCAATCTGATACCAGTGAAGGGCAGATATTATCAGAAAATGCTGGAAATGGAAGAGGGAAATGAAAAAGATCTGATCCAGTCCTGTAACAAGTCCAGCTTGAAATAACACACACTCACAGTTTGTGATGTGATGTTGTTAGCTGTGCACTATTTTCTGTGGGATAATAGGATGATTCAGCAGTTTCACCATAATAGCATAACTACTCTTAGGTGCTCATTGTTGGCAAAGTGCTCAAGTGTAGGAAAGATATCAGAACGATATCAGTATCAGCTCAATGCTCAATATTTCAGTGTCTGTATTGGGAAAAGAAAAGCTATATTGAAATCACAGCCTGTATCAATATAATATCATCACTAGTATTTACGTTATGCAGCCTTATATAGTAATAAAATGAAAAATAGAGGACCTGTCTCTTTTAATCTGAGGTGCTTGATGCATCCAAGTCTTTTCTCTGTTAGTAGAAGCAGGCAGTTCCCCCAGATATGGGTGGGGGGCAGTTTTTATGTTTAAAGTGTGGCTGCTGAGTGTCCTTCACACGCAGGTTCAGGTTATTAGCGCATTATTCACACTCCGTTTAAAGGACTTGGGTGAGACACATTAACTTCTAAACAAGCTCAAGGACAAGCTCATATCTCTGAACTCAACAGGGGGATGCTAAGGGCTCATTTTGCCTCCTCCATCTGCCTGTGTGCACACATGCCTGTGTGTGTGTGTGTGGAATGCTGATCACAACTGTGTGTACTGACCATGTGTTTCTCTCTCTCTCTCTCTCTCTCTCTCAGGCGAAACCTCACCAAGCTCTCGCTCATCTTCAGCCACATGTTGGCCGAGATCAAGGCCATCTTCCCTGAAGGCCAGTTTCAGGGAGACACTTTCCGCATCACCAAGGCCGACGCCGCAGAGTTCTGGAGGAGATTTTTCAGCGAAAAGTAAGACCTGATAACTTTCCCTGTTCATTCCGTTCTCCTCAGTGGAGCTTGGTGCAGATCCGTCAGTTTAGGGCAGACAGTATGGCTAAAATATAACATTTATTTATGCAGGGGTGGGTTAACCCACTGACGGTCTCATATACACTGGGACCCTGGAGTACAGTTAAACAGTAGGCCTAAAGGAAAATTAAGGAATATTTCTGTTAACATTAGGAGAAAATGTTAAACATAAAAACAATAAAAGAAATCTCAAACAAATAAATAAAACTAAATCAATAAAATGTGTATTTTTTTGCAGACCTTATTCATTCAAAAATAAACTGGATTAACAAAATCAGTGCAGACCTTGTTTGAGAACTGACACGGTGTCAATATTGGCCAATTTAAAGTGAACAGAAAGAGGGATCTTTAACAGTGCTGACATTAATCAAACCAGGGAAATCATGTAGTCACTTAAAGTGGTAGATTTTCATGTCTAATAAAGAGTAATTTTTAGCGACAAACACTCCCAAAATAACCCCCAAATGATCTATTGCTAAAGCACTTTTTAGCGAACTTTAAAAGTGCATTAATATTCCTCTTTACACACAATGTGTTAATTACTAATGTGATTAGTAATTAAACTAATGTGATTAGTAATTAAACTAATGTGATTAGTAATTAAACTAATTGTAAAGTAAAGAAAAGCTAGCTAGTTAGCTAACTGATCTTGTTTTATTTAGACTTGGATGTTATTTAATGTTAGACATCATGTTGAGCTGGGCGATATGGCAAAAATGCTATATCACAATCCACAAGGACGTTTCACAATGCACAGTGTGCCCTTATATATATTTTTCATCTATCTGACAACTATTAATACAGTTATTTGTATTTAACATTTTACATACAATGCTACACTAAATCCAAGTGATCAGGGCTAATTATGCTCTCTTTGTAATCAAACATGCAGTTCGAAAGTGTTTCTGAAGTACTTTAATATCCATAATTTATCATGATAAATATTGTCATATTGTCCAGCCCTAACATCATATTTAAAATGATTTCTAGCACATCCAGTGACCCAGATGGAATTCAGCTTGATGTAGAGTCTGTAAGTCGCCTCTGTCGGAAGAAAACCTTCCGTCTCCATTGTTGTCGTTTTTCAGTTTTTGACATAATTTGAACATAAATGTTGTCCCTTACATTGTGTGTAAATTTCATGAAGAATGGACCAAAAGAAACGGCCCTAAATTACTTGGAAAAATGTCTGGTTCCATTGACTTGCATTAAAAGTAAAGTAGGTTTTTTCCTTCTCCTGTAAAGTTACCATTTTAGAGATATGAGGTTTTCTTCAGACACCAGCGAAATACCTTTGCCATTGAGCTGTGCGTGTGGTACTTTTTCAGCTTCAGCAATCAAATAAAAACTGCGCCACCATCCAGATGATCCAGATGTGTCAGGGATTATACATTCCTCATTAACACCTTTCCACCAATCCCTAGCCGAATAATCCTTACCAGTTTGCTGCCACCATCGTTCTCATTGCAGATGTGAAGAGTTTTGTCCTTGACTCGATGCCGTGAGTAGCGTTTAGAGGCGACTGTGTTTGGCTGAGAGGTGTGTCAGTCATAATATTGCAGTTGTCAATAGGCCTGAATCTGCCTTTGCAGTTGTTGCGTGTTCTACGAGTACTGACTACCCACCATTTACTCAGAAAAGCACATCATGACTTCTTTCATCATGATAGTTCATCATCATCATCATAGTGCCCACCTGTACAGTCACTGAGCTCATAACCAGAGCCTTTTCCCGTTAATCATTACTCCTCCGTCCTTGGAGATGCAGAAACATGCTGTGCTGTTCCGGCTCTCTGGAGGCCTGTGACTGAGCGAGGTTAAGCGACCGGTCAGGCGTGTGCGGAAGGAGTTTTTCATTCAAATGCAGACTTTGCATACAGCTGCAGATAAGATTGGGCTGGATAAACCTATTTTAAGTGTGCATAGTGGGTGTTTGTGCATGTAGGCGTGTACGCACTTATTCACTAGCGTACATATCTTGAAACTAGGTCTGTTAAACGACTGAAACAATAAAATAATTTTAAAATAATTTGCCATTTAAAAGTGGCATCTGAACAAGATTGGTGGACTCTATCGTAGCAATGTACAGTGTTCATGCAGCTGGGGCTATCGCAGATAGTTTGAAGGGTCAAACAAGGAAAATATGTTAATGGTGGTAAAAAATGAGCAGCCTTAATCATTATTTGGGTTAACACAACTTTTTGACAGCTGTATTCTTTGTCTCTCTCTCTCTCTCTCTCTCTCTCTCTCTCTCTGTGTATATATTAGTCCAATTCTGAGTGGCCTGTTCGCTTGAGCTCTTAGGAGCTTGAATGCATTTACAGACATGTTTAATTCAAGCGTCTTTCTAAGTGTGCGAGGCTTCTGCATGTTAGATTATCTTCTCTGCTCAGGAGCTCATGCATGGGGTCAAACAGAGGACACACACTTACACAGACACACACACACACACACACGCGTAACTCGTGCATGGGGTTAAACAGAGGGCACATACAGTGGTTAGGAAAGAAAGGCCTCACAGTGGCAGAGCTAGTAGGGCAGAGGGCCAGTTTGTGTTCCTGAGCTTATTAATATCAGACACACACACACTCTTCCTCCTGGTGGAGCGGGAAGCAGTGCTCCTTAATAAACTATAGCATATCAGAGCTGTAACAGGATATACTCGGGAGATCATACTGCTCTTATCCTTTAGTTATTTATTTATTTCTCTTTGTCTTGCTCTCTCTTTCTTTTTCTCTACTTCTTAGAAGAAAAAGAGTTGAAGGAAACTTGATTGAATGTCTTTTTTTTTCTTTTTGTTGGCTTCAATCTCTCCCTCTTGTTCTCCCCCACTCTCTGTTTTTGGCATTAATGTCGTTTAATCTTATGTTTGTATTGATCAGTTCAGGGTTGGGATGTGCACGGGTGCTGAAGTACTCGGCTAACTGTTCTTGGTGTCAGTATTCAAATACCCAAATCCTTATTTGGGTATTTGTAACATTTCATCAATTGAGATTAACAGTGAGCCATTTTTTCATTGTATGCAGCTGGTAGGTCCAGGACTAAAGTGTTGAGGATGGCAGATTAGCTATCGTGCTTCCCAGCTGTGAACGCTTAGTAGCACCCAACTGACAACAGGCACTTCTCAAGCTCAAATAAACAAACATTACTTACTGCTGCCCTCAAAAGCTGTTACAGCACTAACTTGCTGTCTTTGACCTCTGACGTCTCAATAAATGTGTTTTCTGCTTTCATTTATTCCGTTTGCATCACAAGTGGATAAAATTGCACCCTATTTGTATTCTGTTGACGTCAGTATATGACTGTGAAAGTGAACAACTTTGGAAAATATGTAACGTTGAGGCAGGTTGAGAGCGTGAAATGACTTTATTAGGGGCATTCTGATGCTCATTGTCATAGCAGGGGTCACCATATAGGCAGGTAGGAAAAGATGCAGATCCACAATCAGACTTAATGGAGAGTAGCAGGGGTCAAATACAAGAAACAGGCTCAGAACTCAGGTATTGAACACGGAGACTTTGCAAACACACACTGGAGACAAAGGAGTATATGTAGCAGTCTTAATGAGTCCAAAAGGAGCTGTAGGTATATAGGAGAGGAGGAGAGTGGGTGGAGCCAAGGAAAGTCCAAGTCGAGTCTACCCAGAGAGGGCAAGACGTGAAAAGATATTTGCGGTCAGCTGAAACAATTCATTACAACCTTATAGCTAACTGTGCTAACTAGCTGCTGTTATCTGGTTCCTAAAACAGTGAGTGCGTTTAAATGCTCTTGAATAATCAGGTAATGGGAAACTCCGGATTTCTGCTTTGCAACCAGCCAATAAACTCACAGAAGAAGACGTGATGTAACCGTAACGTAAAACTCAAACTTCGTGCCGCGTTTTTTTTTTAAACATCGCGCCGCTTTACCGGAAAATATGAACTGACAACATCTAGAAAATGAAGAATATTCAAATCCCTTATTTTGTGTTTGGTTTCAGTGTCACTCCAAAAGTGTTTTGCTGCCATTGGCAAGGCTGCTCACTTATTTGTGGTACCGCCGTCATTCTTGCGCATACGCAGACTGAGAAATCCATTAGAAAACAGAGTAAGAGTTTACAAGCACTGAGAAATCTGATTACTGAGCTAAAATCCAGACTCTTTATCGGATTTCTTAATCAGATTTCTAGATCTGAGTATGGTATCCTATTATGATTGGATTATTGAGTGCATGTAACCAAGTGAAACAGTTTCTATGTTCTTAGTGTTACCATGACAAGCTAACATGTTGGCACATTGTCCAGTGAGGAGAAAATACAGCTCATTAGCTCATCTGAAGGGGCAGATTCTGTTACTCCTCACTCAGGCTTTAAGTGCTGAACACCTAAAATTTAGCCTTGCAGTAATTTTGACAATAATTTTGGTCAAAGTGTTTGTATTTCCCTCCTTGTGGTTATCTGAATATCTTCTCATCTCTAACAGATCAAAATTCGTCAGAATGCACATCCCTAGCTCAGGGCTGCTTTCCTGGATGCAGGCTAATCGTAATGCAAGACTAAGGCTGTATTTTCTTTACAGCGAAGTGAGCCCCCCCCCATTCATTTCTATAGACACAGGCGGCAGTTGTGCGTGGGGGGCCTGAGGGAGCAGAAGTGGAGCAGCCTGTTAAAAAAGTGATAAAATAGTTCAACTTTTCCCAACTTCATGCAAATGAGAAGTTCAGCTGGGCAGCAGCCAATCAGATTATGAAAAAAATTTTATTAAAAAAATTTACATCCGCATTCAAACTACCCAGTGAGGTCTGTGTTGCTGGAAGATGGAGGACAAATTAGCAGGAGAGTTTATTATCTTTAAAAAGAGTATGAGACTTTTTCTCACCTTGATATTGGTGAAACGAACTAGCCTAGATAATCTAAGCTTGCTTGCATTTTAGAGACAAGTGCACAAAAATGCCAACGGTTGT